GATAACTCTTGTCAGAATCAATATGCAAAGTGAGCCAATTTTAGTAGCATTGTGCTCAGTAAAAAGTTTCAAACCTCCTCCCAGATCTAGAGGTATAAATTGAAGGGGATTCATTCCTCAAGCTAACCAACATCTTGCACACACAGTACAGTCGTCCCTCAGTAAGACATCTGCAGCCGCATAGTTTGTTCCCGTTTAGAAACTTGTCGTAACATGACTGTAAGGGTAAACTTCTATGCAGCAGAGAAAAACCCAATGCTCCATTATAAAAATTTGACTATACAATATGTATATGCTGCTCAGCTGTGTGGGCAAACACTACATCCTTGTTGCTAACACTTAGATTTGCAGTTAAATTGCTTTTTTTTTGTGTTTCAAGTCACCGCATTTCAAATGCAGATTGCCCATCATCTTGACCACGCCAGAACCGCTGCAACTGCGCCAGAAATTTTGCTTAAGAAGGAACTCAAAAAGTTTATACAACGTGGAATCTAGGCAGAAATATAGACCAACGACAGAAGAAAACGAATACATGAGGGTCTGCATGCCCTTTTTCGTTAACCGTTATGGGCTATTTTAATTTACCGTTAATCGTTGCCGGCCTGCTCTAATTCAACGTTAAGCGTTATTAGTATATTCATCGTGAAGCGTTATTGGTCGTTTTAATTCAACGTAAAACGTTATTTGTCATCCTAAATTCAGCGTTAAGCGTTAATGAATAATTCTTCGTTACGCCTAATTTTGCCTTTCAAAGTGCAGGAAAATGCATCATTGAAGGTTTAAAAATACAAAATTTCCCGGGGGAGAATGCCCCGGACCCCCTACATTGGCGATCGGTCCCTTCGGTCCCTTCGCTCGGTCCCTTCGGCTCTAGCCAGAACCAGCTTTCCCGTCAATTTCCGAATTTTTTAACGAATCCGTCAACCTTGACAGGCAAATTAACAAAAATCTTGAGTAAAATATGAAAACATCAGAAGGACCGACAAACACTCTTAGTCTTAACACCATGATTTGCCTCTCAAAATGCGGGAAATTGCGTTTTCGAAGGCTTAAAAATCCTAAATTTACGGGGGGGGCATCGCCCGGACCCCCCTAATGATTTGTGGACGCACTCGGGGACCAGGGCAGGTGGGAAACACAGGGAACACATACCTTTAATGCGTGCTTCATTACATGTAAGGTATACGTAATTTTGTCAGTGATCACCTTTTCTCACAAAGTGAGATACCAAATCCAGTGCAGCTCGAAAAAAAGCCTGTCAATTCACCGTTAAGCGTTGCCGACCGTCCTGAATTTACCGTTAACCGTTATCGGCCCTGCTGAATTTACCGTTAACCGTTGCCAGGACCCCCCCATGCAGACCCTCATACATCTGATGTAACAGTTTAACGTTAGGGCAATATTAGAAGTAGCTTATATTAGGCCATCTGTGACAGTTTCAACAAATTATATCCTTTTAGGATCTATTTTGCCAGATAGGACTGATTTCCTCTGTGAACATGTTTGAGTGGCCAGGATTTAGCTCCCGTTGCGTGAAGGCTGATATTTTGCGGGTTGTAACATTCACTAAAAAGACTGTGATCCCACTCGCCATTCAACTTTCGAGCGTCAAGTTAGTAACTTGGGGGAAAACATGTAACTGCGTGTTTTCTATTCATACACGTACTTGATTGGCAATGTATTCACAGCATCTTACAAGGTCCATGTCTAATGATATTATAGGCTGATCGGTTATTTTTGTGGTACTTTGCATCACACCAGGCATCGGAAGCCAATCCATTTTGTGTTCACACTCGCGGTTACGCCTGATCCCGCCGCAAGTGTCTTGAACTACCTCCTCGAGGTGGGTTACTTTTGGATCGGGATGGGAGAAAATCAATCTGGATTTGAGTGTTCACACTGCAAAAACTGATCTGGATTGGCTGAATTTCAATAATTTCGATCGGGGTCCGTGGTCAATCCGGATCCATCTTTTTGAAGGTGAACGGGGTCTACAAACAGAGAGAAGTTGACCTACCTAATAAGAAAGGCCAGTTAAACCTTGGCCACCCTTTGGCCAGTGTAACTCACCAGCTAAGAGTCCATGTAGTGTTGTAACAAACCACACCTTTTGAAAAAGAGAAGGGGCATGCCCTGGTGTGCGATGGTCCAAATACTAGTACTTATCTGATTATTCACTACGGACAAGAGTAGTGTG